AGCGCAGGCTGGAGTACAAAGACGGTATCCAGGTATTGCTACCCTCCAACTCCGTTCCCATGCACTTTCGACGTAGAAAGTGACAAGTTAGTGCAGCTGCGAACCCAGTTAAGCCTTGTGGGTCCTACTTCTCGTCATGTGAGGTGTCATACATGGCAAGGACTAGAATTCATAGAGGTGAGCAAACAATTAGTCTTTAACACGTTCCAGACCGCGTGACACACATAGTGTGTCATGCATTTGTCTCTATGCGGGGTTTTATTCGACCAACTTGGTTTTTCTTTCATATTTTTGAAAAACACGTTCTTGGTTGAGGAAGATACCTTCCTGAAAAGCCATGGAATGTTCCGAAATGCGCGCAGTACCGCGGTTCATAATGTGTTAATGTAACTTTGGTTGGCACCAGCACTCCCTACATACTACTCCAACGCTCGCAGTAAAATCTACACATGATCTGCACATAATCATTGGTTCAAATCGTTACCAAATACGAGGTATACTGCTCAACGGAGTGTCTGGTGGAGGCGTTCCCGCGAAGGCACGTTCTGGAGGAGTTCTTCACCTCAAGTTCTGTCGCAACAATCCAATTCGGATGGATGGAAGGTCCGGTGGGCTAGGGCAGGAGACAACCCGAGATTTGGACACACCTCCCCTTTATACGTAGAAAGTGGCGTCACTACTCGCTATGCTACCACTACATCAAGAAAAGACAATCGCATAATCTCAATGAAACTATACTTGAATGATCGCAGAAAATACAGCGCCTGCGAAACGTCCGGTTGACAAACGTCCCTGCATACACACTTTCTGGCGCAATGACAGTCTATTTCCATCAATGGCTGCCCTTCCCATCGTGACAATGACTGGTGGAAACTGGCTGGTGCCCCGCCAAACGTAACTTCGCGGGAACCCTCCATCAGACACTCCGTTAAGCAGTATAGCTTGTATTTAATAACGAGTTGAACAAAAAACTATGTGAAAGTTACACTTTACTACCAAATGTGGTGTAGTAATTGGTGCTGAGGCAATCAATGTTACATAAGATTATTCTGACCCAACTTCTGACTTCACCACTAGAATGAAATTTCATGAAGGGCAGCTTACCTTCCATTTGCTTCGCGAACAATCGTCGTATTTCGAATCCAACAACTGAGTGGTTTCATAATGTGGATGATTGGTATACAGAGTTTTTTTCCGCGGTTTACAAATCCTAATACCGACCCGTTGAAGAAGCTGAAAACAGGCTATTACTGGAAGGATTACAGGGTCGCTGACCAAAAGTGACTTCATTGCTTTAAAGGCACAGTTCGCGACCGCAAATTGCGGGAAACGGAACTCAAATAGGCACAAAAAAGTGCTAAGTATCTGATTAGCGGAGAAAAGCAGCAGAAAAAGCAGTCCGAAATGTTATAGAGAAAGATAACATAGAGATAGTGGCTACTAGCTAGTAGCTAGCAGCCGGTGAGGGTCGGCATGGGCCTAAGGGGTGTCCATGGGCCTAATTAGTCAGCTTCTAGCGGAGTTCTTGCCGTTTTTCACATTTTGAAAGTAGCGCAGCCTCAAAAATCGCCTTCCGGATCGTCCGACACATTCGAGAGGTCATAGCGTTATTTTATCGCGGAATGTCTTTGAAGGCGATTGGCACGATTGCTGAGGAGGCGGGCGGTTGTTGCCAGCATCACTGTTGGAAAATGCTGCCGTTGGTCACCCCCTCCCTAACCTTTCATCAATAAAGTTGATAGAACTGCCCCCACATGTACTTCTTGACGCTCTAGAAAAAACGTCTTTTTTTGCATGCTGTATACTTGGTCGCGTGACGGCCCAATTAGCTGGCCTTTCATACTGTGGACAGTAATAGGGCGTGGGCCTGCGGACGTTCATTGGAGCACACTAGGTCGTGTTTTTTCACGGGTTATTCCCGCAGGAAGACAAAAGTCATCCTGTCTCTCGCTGGACAGAAACGTGTTTACAATTGTCGCGAAACGGCAGTATCACACTAAAAGCAGGCAACCGCCCGCTACGTTTCAAAACCGAAATCGCAGCCACACCCTCTCCACCTTCGGAAGATGGTGTGTATCAAGTAAGTCCAGTGAACTTGCTCTGTTTTTTTGGGGTACAACTTTTGTTTTTATCAGCACCGGGCATGGTGGGCGTCCGGGTCGCAGCCAGACAGGGCGCTATGAAGGTACCTATAAGGGTAACACGCAGCGGCTGCACAGGGGCGCCGAAATATGTCCTGCTGACCGTAGTAATCCAACACGTCTTGGGAATTTTTCGTGCTGCTTGCCTTTGATAATGAATCGCAATTGGCCCAGAGTTCGCTGGTTCACTTCAGTTCACTACTGAGCCCCAACGGGTCACTCTAATGGTAAGTGCCAATAGCATCACCAATAACTAACCTGAATAAATATGGCGCGATACTTGCTTCCAAAAATCAGATAAATCACTATAGTCGAAGCACCGTTTATGTTCACAAGTAAGGCGGAAACCTTAAACAAAAGATATGAGATGAGGTTTAAAGTGACACTGAGAAAGAGAATGGCAGAGTCGGCTTGGTAGTTTGGAGAAAGAGGGCTCAGAAGCATACATTAGTATCTTTCGAGTCATAAAAACGATCAAAAAATTGGCTACTTGAGTGCGAGAATCCGGACGGAATTCCAAGCAAGGTCTACACAATCGAGGGGCACATGGTAGGTCGTCATTATTATCAGACCCTCACCCCGCGTATGAACACCGGACCACCTCCGACCCCCCCCCCCCCCGCCAAAGTTCTATGTTGAACTAACCACAAAATTCTCGGGAAATTCTGGAATAACTGGACAGATAGGAAGTTAGGTAAATCTAGGAAAGTGATAAGTGGGATGGGGAAGGGTTCATCAGAGGAGGGAATTAGGGGGGGGGTGGGCGTACTTCCCGAAAATTTTCCACAACATAGATACAATGCGGGGGTTACACAACAGTGATAGCCTTGGACTGAGGAAGGAAGAGCAAACCTCGACAAGAAGAGTCTCCAACTGTGTGTGGCCATAAGCACCAGTTAATTCAAGGACGTTGTTGGCGAAGGCCAATAAGTTGAACAGAAGGAATTCGCTCGTTATCGCCACCAGCATCACCGTCACGCCGTTCTCCTTCCGATCTGAAAAGCTTTTCTGATTTGAGACAGAGGATCATGCTTCTAGTGGTCTCGAAGTGTGATAGAGAGGCTTTGCAGCTTCAGCAGCACTCTCCTTCGATTTACACTTTCTCTTATGTATTTTGGACATTACCCCTCCGAGACTTCAAGGCATCAGATGAAGTACCTTGCTGTTAGTTGCAGAACATCTTCATTGTCCTTAAAGGCAAAGCCCGCGACCACAGATTGTGGGTAACGGAACCCACATAGGAACGAAGAAGGGCTTGGTATCTGATTAGCGGAGAAAAGCAGCGGAAAAACAGCCGAAAATGCCCTAAATAGGATTCCATATCGACCCCAACTTGTACATGCATGCAATGAAGAAAACGCATGTTTGTACGAATTTCCACTCGTCGTTATCATAAAGATATCAGCTCTTTTATCGTATCACCTCACTCTCACCATTCGGAATGGAGAGAGATAGCATAGTGGCTACTAGCTAGTAGCTAGCAGCCGGTGGGGTCGGCATGGGCCTAAGGGGCGCCAATGGGCCTAATTGGTTAGCTTAAAGCGGAATTCTTGCCGATTTTCACTTTCTAAAGGTAGCGCAGCCTCCGCAATCTCCTTCCGGATCGTCTGACACATTTGAAAGGTCATAGCCTTATTTTATCGCGGAAAGTGCCTTTAGCTCTTTAGGCTCGTTGCATACTTTGCGGGCGCTAGCGTACAATAGGTCCCCAGCGTTCCGAGCGTCCGGTGACTAGAAAACTACAGATATCGACCTAGCGCCTTCCAGCGTCCTTCGGCGTCTACCAGCGTCCGACATGTTCCGGAGAGAAGAGTATGGGGTGATAGGAGGGAAGCAGACAGCTGACAGAACATCGGAAGATAGGAGCAGGTACCTGGTGGAAGTATAAGGGAGAAAGGAGGCTCCAGCTGTCTGCTACCCTCCTCTCGCGCCATATTCTCCTCTGCCGGACGCTGGTGGACGATGGTGCACGCTGGCAGGCGCTGGCAGACGCTATATCGATAACCTATACTTCCCTAGCCTCGAGACTCTGGTGGGCGCTGGTAGAGACGCTGGCGGACGCCAGATCGATATCTACAGTTTCCTAGACGCTGCTGGACTCTCGGAACGCTGGTAGACGCTGCCGCAAAGTATGAACACAGCCTTAACAACTGACTTCTTCAGTTAGCTCACTTATCTTCAATTCAGATATTCTAGAATAGATCTAATAAAAAAGGTCTTAGGAATTCAGTCTCATAAGAAATTAGAGCAGAAAATCACCTGCAAACGTCGAGTCAACGAGGATAGTATTGGCGACAGCTATTTTTTTTAAAGTAACCAGAAGTCTCGAAACTGTCACTGTCATAAAAACTCACCGTTAGTTGCCGAGATAGAACCGCTTTCAGGAAAGGTCCCCATCGAGACAGTTTTCGGCGCAGAATCGGCCACAGTTGTTAAGGTGTCGACGGTGATAGGCGTGCTTTCTCGCTTCTTCCGCGGGTGCATTGTCATCATTCGACGCATCCTGAATCAGATATTTTAGCACTGGTACTGATTGAAGAGGTAACATGCAGTTCGGTCTCATAACAAGAGCATCCACTCATGGGTCAGAAGTACGCGGTCTGCAGGTCGCTTCGTTCTGAAAGACTAGGAACTTCTTTCTTGAAATTCAGTTCGGAACGAGGAACACCACCTGTTCCCCATGAAAAAAGGGACTCTTTAGAGCAGTGAGAACCAACATTTACTTTGTGAAGGTGCAAATAAACTAGTTAGTAATTTCTAGAATCCTCTTTGTGGACATCCATGCTGACCAGGGCCTGGTGCGAATGCTGCGCTCGTGACGCCGCTCACAAGG